TTAATTCGGAATAGGCAGCACGCAACGTCGCTCTCGGTAAGTGAACTGTCTGACTAAAATATTTTCTCTATTTTTACTAAAGTGCAAATTCAATCTATCTGAAATGAAACCTACATATCCAATATATCTTACCACCATAATTTTATGTCTATTAGACAAGAATTCTGAGCCAAATTTACATACTTTCAAGCCGGATACACACGGCGGCAAAGAGATTTGCTTATCACGTGTGAATCTTTCACTCTCAAAATATTTCCGAAACTTTCACCTTATATGTGTAGTTTTAATGCTCTTAATATTAGCTGGCATTGAACAAAACCCAGGCCCCAAGATGTCCAAACAAACGACGTTGGAAACAAGCTTAGATAGGGATAAAGATATCAAAGATCTGATAAATGCACTCACCAAAAGGCTGGATAGCTGGGGTGAGAGGCTGGAATCCCGTCTTTCGGCAATCGACGATAGAGTAGAAAATATAAACCAAAGACTGCAACAACTAGAGGAATCTTCTGCCGTTACAAAGGTAGCACTCTCTCAAAACTCCAAAAAAATAAAAGACTTAGAAGACCAGCTTGAATACTTGGATGCAAAGAACAGAGAAAGGAACCTCATTTTTTATGGAATAGAACAAGATAATAACGAGGACTGCCGAGAACGGATACGGAAGGTTATCGAAGAAAATATGCAAACAAAGGAGAAGATAAACATCACGCGATGCCACCGATTATCCAGAAAACCCGGTGCACCGATCCTGATTGAAGTCCCAGAACAAAACGATAGATCAACTCTATTTAAAGCTGCTTTCAATTTAAGAGGAACTAAGATATCACTATCGAAAGACTATAGCATGAAGACGAGAGAACAACGGCGCGTTTTGAATGTCAAAAGAAAAGAACTCGTCGAAAGAGGCACTCTAGCTAAGCTAAGGGACAACAAATTAATAATTAATGACATAGCATATAAGGTCTGTGATGGACAAATTGTAGATGCCAATGGACATTCATTGTAGCAAGCAGTTAGGAAACAATCACTTGTAAATAGTCAACCCAACGATACCTTTTCACTGACCTGCTGGAACGTTAACGGGCTGTATAGACTCAATTCAGTTTTTCCTCTTCTTTATAGTCACTTAGAGAGATACGAAATATTTGCTTTGACCGAAACCTGGTGTGACCATCACTTAAAAAACGGCCCCAGAGGATTCCACTTATTCGAATCACTGGCAACTAGAAGCTCCAAACTGGGAAGATGCTCGGGTGGAATAATAGTAGGAATTAAAAATAAACTAAAAACTATGTTGGAGAAAGTCGTTGTAGAGCATAATTGGATATCTATACCTTTCAAGCGTTGTTTCAACATACAAATTTGTTATATATTTACATATATTTCTCCAAACGAATCTCAACTGTCAAACTTCATTACTTTATCCAAACATGTCGAAGATAGGTTGGCTAACGGCTATGAAATAGTTCTAGCGGGTGACATAAACATCCGTACCGGCACCTATGGATACCTACACAACCCACTAGAACGTCCCTTACTTCTTTCACCTGAACGCAAATCTAGAGACCCAGTGCTTTCCAAACATTGGGAACAACTCATAAACTTCCTAGATAATAATCTACTGACAATAATTAATGGCAGAACTATAAGTGACAAAACTGGAAACTGCACATTTATCTCAAGTCGTGGCTCATCTGTTGTCGATTATTTTATTGTCTCATATTCCCTGCTGGAGCACGTTGTTGACCTCAAAGTAGATAATAACCCATACTCGGACCACCTTCCACTAACAATAAACATGTCTAACTTATCTAATCTCAAACGAACGAAAGAAACCGTCTATCCCTGCTTTGAAAGATACAGATGGGCACCTGATAACACATCCCTCTTTTCGCAGAATCTTGACAACAATCAAGTCTCTACAGACCAGAATCTTGACAGCCTAGTTAATACATTTTCTAAACAAATACTAAACGCAATGCTTGCTGCAGATATGCGCATTAAGGTCAGACCTGGCCGCCCAAAATCGAAACCCTGGTATAGCAGGGAATGCTATTTAGCCAAAAAATCTGCTAAGGCAAGCCTCACAACCTTTAAGGAAACGAACACTGACGTAGACCGCAATATTTATGTCTCAAATAGGAAAAGGTACACGACCTTAATAAACTTCAACAAGAAAAAATATCTTCAGGAAAAACAAGAACTTCTTAAAAATGCCCGTGACTCCGCAAACTTTTGGAAAACTATAGCTACCTTGAAAGACAAAAGCTATATACAAGGAAATATAACAATTTTAGAGTGGCAATGCTTTTACAACAAACTGCTCTCTGCTGAAACGACGATAGGAAGCGACCTATCTACTCTCTCACGAATTGATCCTGAACTCTACTGTGAAATCTCCATAACAGAAATAACTAGAGAAATCTCCAGTCTGGCAAATGAAAAAGCTTGTGGCGCTGACGAAATTCCGAATGAAGCATTAAAGACCCTACCTTTCGAACACCTTGTTACTCTAAAAAATATATTCAACAGAATCATTAATTCTGGTTCATATCCCTTAATATGGTCTAAATCTATCATCCATCCTATTTTTAAAAGCGGTGACCGGGATAATCCATCAAACTACCGCGGAATTGCCCTTATTAGTAATCTGTCAAAACTTTTCACATCAATACTAAAATCGCGATTACGCAACTGGATTGAAGGTAGATCAATTATTCCAGAAAACCAGGCCGGATTCAGAAAAGGCTACTCCTGTCAAGATCACATATTCACACTGTTGTCCTTGATACAGCTGACTCTCAGACGTAAAAGAAGAAAACTCTATGCTTTTTTTGTGGACCTAAAAAAGGCTTTTGACACTGTTCCCCACTCACTTCTGTGGTCAAAATTGGGTGAATTAGGTCTGGATTTCCGCTTTGTTAACCTTATCAGGAACTACTTCGAACAAATGACAACGACGGTGAGATGGAATGGACTATTTACTGAACCCATCAAAATCCGATCGGGAGTGTTACAAGGAGAACCCTTATCACCCTATCTATTTATACTCTTTGTAACTGATTTAATCAACATTTTTAATGACTCTACTCTACCAGGCATATACCTCCCCAATTTTGGAACGGTCCACCTTTTGATGTATGCCGACGACATAATTCTCATAGGAGAATCAAAAATCAATCTACAAATAAAAATCAACATGTTGAAAAAATACTTCGAAACAAATCATCTAACCCTGAACGAATCAAAATCCAAGATAATGGTTTTCCGAAATGGTGGCCGCCCTGCAAAATCGGACAAATGGTTCTGGGGAGACCAACTGTTGACAGTGACATCGAAATATCTCTATCTTGGCTATCCCCTCACAACAACAATCTCGTTTAGTCAAGTGGCTTCATACTTTAAAGGCAAAGCGCTTGCAGCTACCGGCGAAGTATGGAAAATTATGGAGAAATCCAGGTTGAATTCATTTGGTTCATCAATGAAACTATTAGACTCGATTATCCTGTCAACTCTGCTGTATTCTGCTCCAATTTGGGCAAACGAAAAGTACAAAATCTTGGACCAAATTCAGAATAACTATCTCCGACGACTATTGAACTTGCCGAGTAACACACCAGGCTACATACTACGCATGGAAACCGGACGCTTCTCACTAGGAGTCACAGCAACCAAACTAATTCTAAAGTTCTGGTTAAGAATATTAAAAATGGAAAAATCCAGATTGCCCGCAATCTGTCTAGCCCAATTATGGGAAACGTCCACTCTGACGAATGCCTTTATAGGTTTTACAGAAAATTTAATGAATATCCTAAACTCAACTGGATTCATGTGGTTAAAGAATTGTTCAGACCCCAATATTCTACAGAAAGCAATACCTCAAATTATCAGAATCACTATAGAACAGTCTATCCAAACCGACCAATCAAGAATAACCAATTCGAAGCTACACACACACTACAAATATTTACATAAAACATTCGCAGCAGAGAACTATCTACTAAGTGAACTCCCACTGCCGGCTAAACGCCTCATTGCGCAATTGAGAATTCTATTTGTTTTATATCGAGAAGACCATATAAAATATCTAAGGACAGAAGACTTGTATTGCCAACTATGCAAAAATAGAACCGAAAATGAATTAGAACATTATATATTTGAATGCATGCCTCTTGACACGGAAAGAAAAATACTCTTCTCTAAGATAGGCCATACACACTTCACATTATATTCTTTATTATCCAACTTTATAGACAATAGTTCAGTAGCTCTAAATCTATATAACTTCCATAAAAATGCTGTAAAAAAGAAAGACTTAACCGAACATTCAAACATACCAAAAATTTCTGTTTGATAAGAAAGACAGAACCAACATCCAATTATTTGTTTAGGCAGATACGATAAGTTAACAATGATAAAACGGTGTTTACCTTACAACCCTGAACACGAGGATTTCCTGGGAAATCTCTTAAAGATTTCTTAAAAAATACATGGCCCACCTGCGCTGTTCCATCTTGTTCCATATGTAAATACCTGTTTTCTTTCCTCTTTTCGCTCTCCACTTCTCCCATCCATATTTCCAAAAATTTTTTTTTTTTTTTTCTTTTCTCTTTTTTTGATTTTTTTTTTTATTCTTCTTATTTTTTATTCTTTCTTATAATCTGTATATATTTACCAAATGTATATAATCTTTCTCCATTTTTTATTTCCCACTTTCATAGGTTTCTCCGTTTTGTAACCCCAAGGAGAATCCTCTGTAAGACCTGTGTGTCTTAATAAAGGCTTTTGTGTGTGTGTGTGTGTGTTGTGTATCTTAATTCCTCATATAATTTCTAATTTCAAGGCAATAATTTTATTTATTATCGCTCTCTCTCTCTCTTATTGATTATTTTATTGTTTCATTATTTATATTACTAGCCGAATGACCCGGGCAACGCCCGTGTTTTACCCGATTGAATGTTTTGATTCAAATACTATTTGTTACAATTATAAATTCTGGTCATGTGGCCTAGTGGTCATGGCATCTGCCCAGTAAGCGGAAGGTCGTGGGTTCGATTCCCATCCCTTGACACTTTTTTATTTTATCCATTCTGACTAAAATCTATCCGTGAACTTCACACAGTGAACTTCACACAGACAGAATAAGGCAATTATATAAGTAGATGTTAAATGAGTTATTTCTGTTATTTCTTATTTTTTTCATACACAACAGAAAGAGAGAGCAGTAGCAGAAGTAACATAAAGGTAACTCAGGCTCCTGGAACGTATCCATAGATCACCAACTACCCGGGCTGTCCTATGAAGTCTGTCTTGGTAGCCTTAGTGAACCAGTTCACCAAGTGGCCGGTTTGTTTCCTGGTAGATTCAATAGAGCAGTATCATTGAATGAGAGCAGTCCAATAAGTGTAGCCGTTTGGAATCGCTGTAGTTCAAATGCTGGGCAGCTCAAGTACCGAGAGAGAATTAATTGCTTTTTCATTATGTGTTGTTACTGCCAATCAGAATCCTCTTTCCCATGGTCAAATTCAAATAAAACATCAAGATATATCAATGAATATTTTTTTCTTCAAATTACTAAATGACATTGAGATTAGAATTTTTAAAAATTATTTCGGTTTAATTAACTAAGTAAATATTTTAAAAATAAGATTTTCCTAGGAATTTATATATATATATATGTGATTTTAAAATATATATATTCACATAGAAATATAATTATGAATGGTCAAATTTATTATAAAAGAATATAATTTTTCTTACTAAAAATTACACTCCATTGTTATACTCCAAAGATCAATTTGTTTTTATTTGAAATAAGTCAATTCATAAAAGTATAGTATTTAAATTTTTGGTTGAATTATCATTTTAAGATTAAGAGAAACATGGAATTATTTATTAAAGGAATAGATTTGCCTTCGATTTTTCAACCATTAATACACTCTCTAACAAAGAAATCAACGCTCCAAGAAATAGTTATCAGATTGGAACGATATTTGGTGTAGGTGAAGAATATGTATAGAGAAACACTAGGGAAGGCCAGCCGTTCATTACGCAACAAACTGTTGCAACTATTTGCTCATTTTGATCTATACAAACTCTATTCCATTCTAGAGGGGGGTCGGTGAAAGGGTGGTCTAAACTGTTGGTATTGGAGGAAAAAAATAAGATAAAGAAAAAAAATTAATAAATAAATAAACAAACAAATGAATAATTTAAATAATTTTGTATCTAACTTTCGTACTTACAGTAGCGATAGGCAGCTGATATTCTGGAGGTAATGAACGGCAAAATTTGATGAATTTAACATAATGAGCTTTATTCTATTATGATAATATGATACATAAAAATAAACTAATTTTAATCGGAGTAATTATCCTGAACTATTATGCAGATCACCAATCTTTTGCTAACTTTAGTTTCTTCAGTTTCTACAACAGGCTTCTTATCAGATCCTTTATTCTTTTCACTTTAATCAGTTTCTATCCAGGCTTCTTATCAACTTCTTTAGCCTTTTATTCTTTTCCTCTGAGCTTGAGTTCTTTATCTCCTAGGCTCAGGTATTCATAACCAACTTTTCCTCTGAGCTTGAGTTCTTTATCTTCTAGGCTCAGGTATTCATAACCAACTTTTCCTCTGAGCTTGAGTTCTTTATCTCCTAGGCTCAGGTTTTCATAACCAACTTTTCCTCTGAGCTTGAGTTCTTTATCTCCTAGGCTCAGGTATTCATAACCAACTTTTCCTCTGAGCTTGAGTTCTTTATCTCCTAGGCTCAGATATTCATAACCAACTTTTCCTCTGAGCTTGAGTTCTTTATCTCCTAGGCTCAGGTATTCATAACCAACTTTTCCTCTGAGCTTGAGTTCTTTATCTCCTAGGCTCAGGTATTCATAACCAACTTTTCCTCTGAGCTTGAGTTCTTTATCTCCTAGGCTCAGGTATTCATAACCAACTTTTCCTCTGAGCTTGAGTTCTTTATCTCCTAGGCTCAGGTATTCATAACCAACTTTTCCTCTGAGCTTGAGTTCTTTAAGTCCCTCGCTCAGGCACTCTTATCCTCATAAACAATCTTTACAATCCTTCGCTGGTCATCCCGCCCAGCCTTTTATACCTTGCTTGCGCAAAGTCTCACCTGATTGGCTTTCTTTGTCACGTGATCAAAAATGATATTATACAAATGAATAAGTATTAACAATTTGTATAGATATATATGATATGATCAAACTCCCTTGATTGTCGGGAGAACAATTGATCAATCTATACAAGTGGACCACACGAGAATGATAAATTCAAAATTTTGCCTGCATTATAAAAATGTATATTCAGCTCCCATAGCAGAGTTTTAATTAACTAGTGACTTCCCTCTTCTGGTCAAACGATGCATTGCGCAATTAAGAATCTTGTTTACATTTCTATTGAAGACCGTATAAAAACTATGACATCAGAAAATCTCATATGTGTATTGTACAGGGATAATTTTGAGTCAGAACTAACTCACTTTACCTGCAATCATCTGTATGAAGAAAGGAAATTACTTTTTAATAATACGAATGCTAATCATTTATCACTCTATGCTCTGCACACAATAGATTTATACAAATTTTGGTGTGAAGGCGAGAAGGATGAGAAACATGTGAAAATAGTTTGTTTTTTTTTTTGGCTCATGTATACTGAATTGTATATAGTACTTGATTTATGTTCAATTAAAACCATTGCTATACCGGGAGAATCCTGCATGGGGCTTGATCCTTAATAAAGGTTTGTTTGTGTGTGACAACCATGATGAAAATAAATTGTGTTATTGGGAATTATGGTATAGGGTTGGGGATATTGTCGTAACTATGTTGGGAGGTTTATTTTTCTATTGGTACTGTTTAGTTTTGATGATATCTGTGCTTCCAGGAATAATCGCGTTGTTGCTTGCTTTTTATATGTCGTGGTAATGGGCTATTGCTTGTTTGAGATCAAATTGTCTCCAGTGGTGCAGGTGTGTTGATAAATTGGGATTTATTGTCTTTGTATCTTATGTTTCTCTCGTGTTCTGTTAGTCTGGTCTATATTGTCCTACTGGTTTCTCCTACATATGTGATATTGCATTGGTTACATTTGACAGAATATATTGCATTTGATTTAGATAGGGGATTGGAAGTTATATTTTTGGTAACTGGGTTTCTCAGCAAAGAACCGAGATTGGCATGGGTGCTAAAATAAGTCACTATACCATATTTATCTAACTTATGAGCTATTGCAGTATTGGCTTTAGAATAAGGGATGGTGCAATGTGTTCGGTATGTCTGGGGTTGGCGGGAGAAGTTTGGATTAAAGGAATGTCTATGGATGAATGATATCGGGTAACCTAACGCTGTTAAATGGTTGGTGATGTTGGTCTGCTCCGTTGTTTTTAAGCATGGTAAAGAGCAATGAGTGAAAATGCGTTTAGTGAGGACTTTTATTACAGCGATTTTGTGGCTGACAGGGCAAAATGAGGTGTAGTGGGTATAGGAGGGGGTCATGTTCTTTTTGTAAAACTTGTTGTATGGTACTTGGTTGGAGTTTTGATAATTATAATATCTAGGAAGAGGGTAAGACACTATTGTTCTCAACAACAACAAAGCCTTTATTTAGGGCCTCTCGCCCTATTCGACAATATCGATAATACGACACTTCCGATAGTTCGACCATTTTAAAATTCGAATTTTGACAGTTGAATGTTTTTTTACATACAACTTTACCGCTAAAGAGGTATTACAGCGGCGACGATCAGCGGGCGCGATAGGATCGCGCCTGCGCACTTTTGGTTTCTGTTAGTTTAAGTTTTACTATGCAGTGCCGTTTAGCAATGTCGCGCGTGTTATTATTATTATTTTTTGTTTGTTTGTTTTTTTTTACGCGGGAATTTAGGCATCGTTCCCTAATTAATAATATATTTTATTTTTAAATTTCAGCATTGAAATATTTCAGTTATTTTAAAATTTACAAATAATTTGCTTTTAAATAAATAATTCTTATAAAATGTAGCCACAATGATTATGATAACATTTTATTTCAATATTCCATTTCCTTGTTATTATAAAAGATATAAACACAAAATCAATCTTCATGATTCTTTTTAAATAATATTTTTAAATTTTCTTTTTATTTTCCATATTTATTTACTTTTAACTGCTATATTCTTCAATTAGAATAAAATATTATTTGTAATTATTTATGTTTCACACACACACACACACACACACACAAAAGCCTTTATTAAGACACACAGGTCTTACAGAGGATTCTCCTTGGGGTTACAAAACGGAGAAACCTATGAAAGTGGGAAATAAGAAATGGAGAAAGATTATATACATTTGGTAAATATATACAGATTATAAGAAAGAATAAAAAATAAGAAGAATAAAAAAAATCAAAAAAAGAGAAAAAAAAAAAAAAAAATTTTTGGAAATATGGATGGGAGAAGTGGAGAGCAATTATTTATGTTTCAAAAATATGTATTAATGCCATTTTGTCCCTGATACTAAAAGTTAATCATGAAACTAAAAAAATAAATATAAAAAGTACACACACAATGGCTTCAATTAATATCATCAACAACAACAACAAAGCCTTTATTTAGGGCCTCTCGCCCGATACAGGATTCGCCAGTTCACAAGGGATGGGGAGAACACTGTGTGGCCTTTTTCCGGGATATAATCCTGTGGAATCCAAATATCGCCACCGCTATATACCTATTCTTTGATATTTCATTAATTAGTGCCGGAAATGAAGGACAAAGTTGCCCCGTTTTATCATTTAGTTTTCGTCTTTCCTCAGACAGAGCAGCACAATACAATAAGTAGTGCAACATCTCCATTGTTATTCCTGATCCACAGAAAGTGCATTTCAGGTCTTCACCCCTCATTAAAATCAGATGGTGTTCTCTGAAAAAAATTGAAAGGGTTCTAAATTGTGCGATTAATCTGATGAGAGGAAAAGGGAGTTCACTCAAGAAATATTCTTCGGTGGTAAACGTTGTATATATGTCTCTACTAGCCGAATGACCCGGGCAACGCCCGTATTTTACCCGATTGAATGTTTTG